CATGTACTCATTTGAGGCCGAGTCGACCTGGGGGAGGCCCAGGACCGGTTCAGAAAATCGTCACCGGTGTTGGCCGTGAGCGGGAATCGAACCCGGGTGGCCAGGTTCGTAGCGCAAGCGCGCTAACCGCTACACCACCGCTCCCCTATATATACATACACACAGACAGACCGTATGGGCTATAAGCTGCTATATATTTATATTTAGAAAGTCCTGGTTCTATTTTAAGCCCATGGTACACGTTATTGCGTCATCTAAGACCAACTAAGCCTGGGAGAGAGAGAGGCAGTCGCTGAGAGAAATAAACTCGCACACAAACACCAAATCACCTATGCGGGGTTTAATCTTTCCATTTTTAAGCATTCCGCAAGTATAATTTGAGCTAAATACGCGTGATGTATGGGGCGAGGGGGGGAGTCGTGGCGCAGTGCTTAACGCGCTGCGCTATAAATAACGTCGGTAATACAATCTGAACGTTCTGCCCATTGTAATGTGCGTTGAACCTCAAGCTGTATTTGTCAGCCCCACTGCTAGATGAGTGTGTTCGCACGCCGTTGCTAGTCGCTGGGGTCGTTTGACCACACTTCACCACGCTGGGTACGCTTGGTGGTCGATGGGGGGTTGTAGAAGGTGTGACGTTAGCCGTGGAGGCCGGGGTTAGAATTCATGCCGGCGAGTTCGAAGCGCAGTGCGCTAACCACTGCGCCACCGCTCCACGCCGTGCATAGTTGTGTAACACTATTCACCCGTGCGCCTATTGCAATATGCGAAAGTGTACCTGCGGTATCTCCCCGTTGGAGTTTCCGAACAGCGTGCTGCATTGCACACAAATCGAGTTGGTAGCTGCGCCAGCATTATACACGGAGCCAGCGTTTAACGTGGGCCAGGTCTGTCCGTATCCGGAAAAAAAAAACTACACATACATTTATATTGTTCCTACCCGACCCACCACATCAAGTATACAGTACAACATCGCTGTGGCTGTGGCGCGCGTGTCACGCGCCACATCCAGCCCAACAGCGAACGTGTTAGATGAGGAATTGACACGCGCACACACAGAAGAAAAATAGATCGCCCCTGAGTAGCCTTGACAGACTGTTGGCGGGCCGAGTGCCGTTTCGCGAGCACGGGGGTTTGTTGGGTAGGTGACGAACACAAGGGCACGGCCGCCTTTGTCTTCCCAATGCCGATGTTTTACACACACACGGCACTAGGTACAGTGCTCGTTTAAGGCTCAGTCGACGTAGCAGGAGGGGGGGTGTGCGGAGGCGCGGGACCGGTCTCAGATGTCCACGCGCGCGCAGCTCCACACGTGGTCGCAGCGCAGGAGGAGGGGAGGGGGAGAGAATATATCGGATTAATCAGGCTGTAGGCAAATTAGGTGGTGCCGTGCGGCCAAGCATATAAAGAATGACGCATGTAAGGTGAAAATTGCATCGCTCTCCTTTTGGGGGGTAATTGCGGGCGTGCAGCGAGTGGCACGAGGGGGTGCCCGGGGTAGCCGGGTGGCGCTGTGTAATCGCAGCGCCACTGTGCAGGAGGGGGGGGGGGGGTCCACAACCCTCGCTCCTCGTTCGGCAGCCGCGCCACGGCATCCGCCGCTCCTCATCCTCATCCTTCTTCTTCCCAGCCGAGCAAATCCGCTATCGCAACGGGGTCGGTCGATCGGCTGGCGGGAATGCCGATCCCCATTGCAGCGCCTACGGCTTTATATTCGACGCCTCTTCTTCCCGAGTCACATGCACTATCCTCACATAGAGATGCCAGATACCCAGGCTCTTACATAGACTTACATTGAGATGCACACGCTCTTACATAGAGACCCATGCTCTTACATAGACTAACATAGAGACCCACGCTCTTACTTAGTCTAACATAAAGACCCATGCTCTTACTTAGACTAACATAGAGCCCCATGCTCTTACTTAGACTAACATAGAGACCCATGCTCTTACATAGTCTAGCATGCACGCAGCGATCTCCATCTTCGCAGAATTGAGATTGCCCATCCAAGCACTAAACAGATGAATCGCTGATTTAAAGCTTTCGTGACTGCAGGGATTCATATTCTTGGTTCTTTCGGTAAAGTCACCACGTAGAAGGGGAACAATTAAATATTGTTTTATATTTTTATTATTTTATTGTTTCCCTTCTACGTGACTTTACCGAAAGAACCAAGAATATAGGTTAATCGCTTCTTAGCTTGCAAGAATGGACGAGATCTGGCGCATTCCAGACAATTTGGGTTCTGTGCGGATATCACATACTCGTGTGTGTGTGTATATATATAGCACTGTGTGGGTAGCGGTTAGCGCTACGCTGCGCTACGAATCCGACAACCCGAATATCTGAACCTGTCCTGGGCCTCGTATGGGTCGACTCAGCCTCAAATGAGTACCTGGTGCGATGTGCGAACATCGCCACTGGAGAGACAAAGGCGGCCGGGCGTGGGGCTGATCATCCCAACCCCGCGTGTTGGCTTTTCTGGTCTATATACAGTAGGTGCTGCTCGCTAATAGCACTTGCCCCAACATTCTTTCAAGGCCATACGGGGAATCTTTGTCATAGCGCTGTGTTGTGGCATGTGTCGCACGCATGCCTCTTGATATATAGACCTCGGGATAACGCACGAAATATCTTCTTTATACATCGCCACAGTAAGCTATGTACACGAGGACGTGGGGCAGTGTGTTTATTGTTGGAATGTACCACGTGCGTCGGAAACGTGGATAAAGTAAGTGTATATACTAACCACAAATCTTAAAACATTAACTTATCGTTAATCTATGTAAGTAGATATATATGTATGTTGAACTGCTTTCGAGTCGTACGTATTCAACCCGCGCTAATCGGGAGGGGCGGGGGAAGGACAAAAGACCGAACACAAAAAGCAGTTCTAAAGAAATAAGAGTTAATTTAACCCTTTATACGTACTGCGTAAGGATGGGTATCTTGTACAGCGTACGCGGCAGTCCTTCACGTAACGATGCAGGGTTCACGTTGCCTATACGCACGACCCATCCGAACATTTTTATCAGATAAAAACTACAAATCCGATCCGGTCTAAATGCCGACCCCAAATCAATTCTGCATCTCCGGTATATATAAAAAGAAATCCGCACGTTGCTTGCAAACAATCGCTTAGCCACTCAAAGCGCAGTACGAGGCAGCGTTTATAGTTTAAGCGACAATGTACACAGCTTTAACATTAGTTTTATATATAGCACTATATATAGCACTATATATAGGACCTGGCATTTAAGTTACCGTACTATCTGGAATGTTCTACACATTGGGATCTGCGGATGAAACGCGTAATGAAAGTTGCACGCAGGCAGGCAAGTGTATATTTGAATTTGCATTGCTATTGTTGCAAATGTGCGACGCACTTTTCCCACGTATTTTAAAATGTAAAAAAAATGTCTGTGCGTTTTATAATCCGGTAGATACGTGCGCGCGCGCGTGTGTGTGTGACCAGATCTGTAAAACGGAAAACACGGAAGTAGTAACAGATACGACGTTTTTTTAGTGTAGTGTCATTTGACGCGACTCCGTTTATAGATGTCGCGAACGTTCATCCTTAACGAATACGGCACACTTTCCGCGCCCGATGATGACGATGTAAGCGCGTGAGATAATTGATATTACGTAAGTTTAAAAATTTTAGTTTTTTTAATTTCAGCTAATATAAACAAGGTGGTATTTTAAAAATATGTTATTAAAAAAATACGGGTTTTTTTCACGTTTGTCTTGTGCAAAGATATTTGTACAAATTAAACACAACATAGAGCTCACTCGGTTCGTCATTAACATTCATGCTTTCGTATCGCAAAACGGATATACTTGTACAGTAGGCGAACGCTTTTAGAAATTGCCCTTCCTAAGAGCTAGACGCTACTTCTCCCCGTCACACAAAACAAACTTTTAATGAACAATCATCTGTATATTTGCGTCCGTATAGACGCGCAGTGTATAGGCAATATCAGCAAACCACAACGACAAAAACCACCCCCCCCGTGTAGCCTGAACAGACTTTTGGGGCAAGTGCCGTTAGCGAACACCTACGAGTGGCTGATACGGCACACGAGGGGATGGGTGGCCAGCACCACGTCCTGCCGCCTTTGTCTCCCTAGTGGCGATGTTTACCGCACCAAGTACTCATTTGAGGCTGAGTCGACCTAGGGGAAACCCAGGCCCTGGTCGAGATAATCGTCACTGATGTTGTCCGCTACACCACTGCTGCCCGGGCAGCATCAGCAAGCCACACCACACCCACAGCGCGCCCGCTCCACAAGGGACTCGCACGGACCTCTGTGCCTACGGGGGCCACTCCGCCTTTTGCCCCCCCAGCTCCCCCCCCGATGCAGTTGCACCGTCTGCACACTCAATATGTATGCACAGGGATCGGCAAAACAAACTAACGAGGAGACATTTTTTTTGTTCTAATTCGGTATTACAAAATAAACCCTTAGCATTTCAGGAGCCGCAAGCTGTCAATCCCAGTATACAGTACAGCGACGCAACTGCTCTCTCTCTCTCTCTTTCTCTCACTCTCTGTGTGCGAAGTAATCACCGCCGACGTTTGTCGCGGCTGCGCTGTGTTTTTTTACGGTCCTCCCGATGTACGTGCTCTTCGTACCGCGCGCTGCTCGGCGTGATGTCCGACGTTTCACGTCGCGCGCTCGGGAGCCGCTCCTTCTTCAGTTTTCAATCAGTTACCGAAGAAGGAACGAACTGAACAAGTTCCCGGCACGTGGGTGCGAAACGTCGAACATTAACGCGCGGGAGAACCCCCCCCCTCACAGCCCCTCCACCGAAACCCTATCAGAGAACGAACGCGCGTGTGGAAAACCGCGACCCGGCGAGAATTCGCGATCCAAACCACGACCCTCACGAATCGCAACCTACGCGTCTGTCTCTCTGCTAACACCCCCCCCTCACCTCCAACCCGTTACCCCCCCTCCCCTCCGCCGAACCACCCCCTTCTCCACCCCCTCCAGGTGTGGTTCAAGAACCGGCGCGCCAAGTGGCGGAAACGTGAGCGGAACCAGCACGCGGAGCTGTGCAAGAACGGCTTCGGCCCCCAGTTCAACGGACTCATGCAGCCCTACGATGACATGTACTCGGGATACTCGTACAACAACTGGGCAGCCAAGAGTCTCACCTCCAACCCGCTCTCCTCCAAGAGCTTCCCCTTCTTCAACTCCATGAACATGAACGCCGCTCTCTCGTCACAGAGCGTCTTCTCGTCTCCGGGCACCATGAGCATGTCGACGGGCATGGTGCCACCGTCCGTGCCCAGCGTGCCCACCGCGGGCCTCAACAACCTGAGCGGGCCCGCGCTCAGCTCGGCCGGTCCCACGTGTCCCTACGGAGGCCCTCCGGCGGCCGCGTACATGTACAGGGATACGTGCAACTCGAGCCTGGCCAGCCTGCGTCTCAAGGCGAAGCAGCACTCCGGGTTCGGCTACCCGGCCGGCGTGCAGCCGCCACCCGCGGCGTTAAGCGCCTGCCAGTATGCCATGGAGAGGCCCGTTTGATTCGCCGTGGGACTTTTATATATAAATATATACATGTATACAAGCAAACATACGTACACGGAGTGCGCACGCAACCTACCCACGAGCACGCACTCACGAGCACGAGAGAAGACAAGAAGGACGAGGAGGATGGAGAAGCGAAGAGACGGTTTGGAGCAAGGCTAAGATGAAGAGTGGTTGGTTGGTTGGTGGTGGTGGTTGTTGTGGTGGTGGTGGGGGTAGGAGAGATCTGACACGGGTTGGAGGAGTGAGCGTCCCCCGCTACTCCACACCCATGGGTATCTCCGTGCTGGGAGGGGGGGGCGTTAATTCTTAAATTCCACCGCCGCTGCGTTTGTGTATTGGGGGAAACCGCGCGTGGCGAATCGGGCGTGACTCGACCGAGTGAGACTGAAAACTAAAAACCCTAACTACACACGATAAAATAATAAAATAAACCCCCGCCACGCAAACAAGGACTTAATCAGTGACAGGACGTGTGGATGATTCGTCTCCGCTATATCAACGTCTCGATCTAAGTGTTATATATCTATCCCTGTTATCTGCATCCATCTCGCGCTGCAAGAATTCTGCCCGGGTACAGAAGCGACTCTTTCATCTCCGGAGTTCGTCCATTAATTTGATGATGATATTAATGATATTGATGATGATATTGATGATGATACTGATGATGGGGGGAAGTTTGGGGGGGTGGGGGTTCAAACGTACGGTAAAATAATATCTGACTTTGTTTTCCAATTAAACTGATGCGAAGTTCCCCCACCCCATGCTAAAATAATAGTAAAAAAAAATAAGACAATAGGACTTGAGAACTGAAGGACGCCGTGGTTGTATAACATAATCTTAGTGATGGTTAGGGACGCGTATATATAGGTACTTGACGGGATGAATGTACATACACTGTAATGTCGTCGTTTTGTAATCGTTATCCGATGTTGATGTGGCGTATATTTGAAAGAACAATAAAAATCTGTGTCTCATCACCAACGAGAGAGCGAGAGAGAAGTTGCGGCGAACACGGGCATGAGAGGCGAGGTTTTGTCGCGATTATAACCGCCGTTGTGTGCTTCAGCATAAAGTCCACAATTCAGTGAAACCCCGGTTTGCGTCGGGGATGCGTTCCCCATTAAAGGTGCGGGGAGGAAATATCGAAACGACGCACATCGAAGCGATTTACAGGGGGTGTAGGCGGTGGTGGCGAAGGCTGAGAGGCGGCGGATACGAGAACGAACGGGACGATGCTGTCGGCGACGTAAGTGTGGGGTTGAGGCGACGTAAGTGTGGGGTTGAGGCGACGTAAGTGTGGGGTTGAGGCGACGTAAGTGTGGGGTTGAGGCGACGTAAGTGTGGGGTTGAGGCGACGTAAGTGTGGGGTTGAGGCGGCGTAAGTGTGGGGTTGAGGCGACGTAAGTGTGGGGTTGAGGCGACGTAAGTGTGGAGTTGAGGCGACGTAAGTGTGGGGTTGAGGCGACGTAAGTGTGGGGTTGAGGCGACGTAAGTGTGGGGTTGAGGCGACGTAAGTGTGGAGTTGAGGCGACGTAAGTGTGGGGTTGAGGCGACGTAAGTGTGGGGTTGAGGCGACGTAAGTGTGGAGTTGAGGCGACGTAAGTGTGGGGTTGAGGCGACGTAAGTGTGGAGTTGAGGCGACGTAAGTGTGGGGTTGAGGCGACGTAAGTGTGGAGTTGAGGCGACGTTAGTGTGGAGTTGAGGCGACGTAAGTGTGGGGTTGAGGCGACGTAAGTGTGGAGTTGAGGCGACGTTAGTGTGGGGTTGAGGCGACGTAAGTGTGGGGTTGAGGCGACGTAAGTGTGGGGTTGAGGCGACGTAAGTGTGGGGTTGAGGCGACGTAAGTGTGGGGTTGAGGCGACGTAAGTGTGGGGTTGAGGCGACGTACGTGTGGGGTTGAGGCGACGTAAGTGTGGGGTTGAGGCGACGTAAGTGTGGGGTTAAGGCGACGTAAGTGTGGAGTTGAGGCGACGTTAGTGTGGGGTTGAGGCGACGTAAGTGTGGAGTTGAGGCGACGTAAGTGTGGGGTTGAGGCGACGTAAGTGTGGAGTTGAGGCGACGTAAGTGTGGGGTTGAGGCGACGTTAGTGTGGGGTTGAGGCGACGTAAGTGTGGGGTTGAGGCGACGTAAGTGTGGGGTTGAGGCGACGTAAATCAAGTGGCGGTTTAACACGTAGTAGGCTTTCGCGACCAATATCATCCATGAATGCAGGTGTTTTGGGTTAGATCGCGTTAATATTATTTACGCGATCTAACCCCCCAAGAAACCCTGTACTACAGGTGGCGGTGTTAATAATAAAGTGACGACGTCTTTGCGAAACGACGTAAAAAGGCTGCCTAACCCCCCTCCCTCTCTCCCCAGTCATCACGACGCACGTCCCCCCCACACCCTCTCATCTCTGTGCACGCTTTACCAACCATCCATCCGCGCAAACGACAATTACGCCTCTATACGCTGCACGTGCCCGATCATTGTTAAACGCGTACCACGTGATGCAACGAGCTCTGATTTCAAATCATCATGACGGACACCATGCTTGTTCGCCTTCGTCTCGTCGTAGGTGTTGTGCGTCATCCGTGGCACACGTACACAACACGAGACGCAAGGTCACACGATCCCCCCGTGTAGCCTCTGACAGGCTGTTTGCGAGCACCCATTAAGGTCGACAACGGGCACGCGAGAGCGTGACGTGGAACAAGACTTACGTCTGGCGGGGCCCGCCTTTGTCTCCCCTAGCGGCTCACATTCACTCACCGCACCAAGAAAATACTGACCACACATTCGAGGCTCGACGCTACACGACAAATTCGAGCACCCATTGTGTCTAATTGCAGATATTTTACGCATTGCAGATATTTTACGCGTTGCATGCAACAAGCTTCGGACCAATGCCGTGGGACAACCGTGATTTGTCCCCCGTTCGATTCAACACAAGCTACAGAATCGATAACGATTGATATGCGCCCGAACAAACAGCCTGAGAACAACTGTGGAGCTTACTCGCTGTAGCGTGGCGTGCACGTGTACGCAATCGTGTACAGAATGCTGTACACGCACAGTATGAATTCGTCTTTACGGGCGGCGTGTATCTGCGTGCGCCCACATCTCAAGACGCCGTGCAAAAGGAACAACTGTGGGCGCATTTATATCTTGCATTGAGAGCTCAAATGTTAGTGTTAGGCAGAGGAAGGTCTTGAGTCTACGCATGCATAAAGGACAGGAGGTGGGTAGCACGGATGGGTAGGGAGGAAGGAGACAACAGAAATTACAGGATGGTCCAGATGTCTTGTGACCCCCAACAAATTGCAGTCGAAACGTCGTGAGAATTTTATTGTTTGTATATTGTTATTATTTTATTGTTTCCCTTCTACGTGACTTTACCGAAAGAACCAATAATATGAATCCCTGCAGTCACGAAAGCTTTAAATCATTTTTTTTAAAGTTAAGGTTTATCTAAAACAGAAATGAATGTCCAAAGATATGGAAAAAAGCATATTTAGGGGGGTCAATTCAATTGGGGGTCACAAGACGTCTGGACCACCCTGTACATGCACGGCTGCATTTTTCCGGTGAGACTCAAATGAATGTCGTCAAAACCGGTCCAGAGTAGGGCCTGCTCAAACACGCGCCACGTGGACAGTCGTTTGAATGAAAGCCCCCCCCCCCCCACCAGTCCCCCCCACCAACTCCCCCCACCAACCCCCACCCCCCACTACTCCCTCCCCTCCCACCCACCCACATCGCCTTCGCCACGAACTGCCAGAGCGGAGTGGCAAGTCACGTGTCACAAACGACTCGCAGAGACGGCACGGCAATTGCCATTGGGGAGGAGGTTTCGTTTTTACAACGAGGTCTTTCAAAGATATTCTTTACTGCTGCAGTACTACTATTTTTTTTATATTACCAGCTAAGGCCCACTGAGCTATATAGCTCTTTTTTTTCAGAAGCGACCTGGCTATCAACAAATGGTAGGTCAACGAAGTGGCTTATCGCCATCACGTGGAAATGTATTTCGGCCAAATACTCCAAACGCACGTTGATTCTAAATGTGGAGGGGGAACGAAACCGGAGGATCCGGAGAAAAATCCACGCGACCACGGGGAGAACTGCAAATGTACAGCAGCAGGCGTCAGTGTCGGCATCGAACCCACGACCTCTTGTATACCAGGCGAGGTAGTAAACAATTCACCACCACGGCGCCCATGCATACCAATAGCTCACTATACTAATAGCTCACGATGCATAGACGAGCTCTCATGCAGGGCTGCATGGCACCTGCGATTAGCACGGTTCGCTACGTACGTTGCGAAAGAAGTCCAACATACACGCACGTACAGAAAGGGAACGACACAGCCGCTGCGCCGATTGTGTTTGTTTCAAGACCTCCCCTCGCGTCACTCCCTGCACACCGTGTTCCATTGCGAGCAGGCGTAGAGACGCGCGCAGATCCAGGGGGCTACGGAGTGAGAGGCGGCGCCAATAGCCGGAAAAAAAACGAGGACGTAAGAAGAACACTCTGGACAATTTTCAATTGTTCGATAAGTAAGAAAAAAAAACAATCTATCGCTCTATGTTTTAAGTTCGTAGGCAGTGATGGTGCGGTAATGCACTGGTATACAGTGTACTCGCTCATGCATTCGTAATGTGCGCATCAATTATATATGCGCAGTGTACTAATGATATCTAACGTACGCCGCTTCAATACGAAACAAGGATGGAGATGCGATTGGGACTGCGTCATTTTGTTTACGACCGCTGACAAACGATTCATGAAGGCGCTTTGTCTATCGCAGGGCGTGTATCATTGTGTCACATGCGAACCGCGACTCGTACCGCAACTCGTGTCAAATCTATCGATGCCGCTGCAAGGGTTAAAAGTAGGAATTTGGCACAGCTTACAGGCGAAGCTGTGGTCTATAATGAGAAACAAAAATATATAACATATATTGTGAATACGAAAACCCAAAAGTTGAGAAATTGGGCCCCCTGGAATGATTGCCCCGAGGGAGAGGCTGGCTTCGCGCACGGGGAAATGTCAGCCAAAGCGCTCTAAAGTGCCTCAAACCTTCTGCTTAGACTGCAATTCGCCTCCCGTGGAGTGTGACGGAGAAATGGAAAGAAGACGGCCTAAGCGCGTTTCCGGTTACGAGTGAAACAAAGACAAAGGTGCATCCCCACCCGTGTAGCCTTAACGGACTGGTGGGGCAAGTGCGGTTAGCGAGTATCGCCTATAAAGGCCGGGACGGCGCACGAGGGAGTGGGTGGCCAGCACCGCACCCGGCCGCCTTTGTCTCCCTCGTGACGATGTTTACGCACCGCACCAAGTATACATTTGAAGCTTGGCCGTGAGCGGGAATCGAACTCGGGTTTCATTCCTGAGTTGCGTAGCCTACGGAGACAACGTACGAACACAGCACGTGAACAAACATACTTTGATCAAATCCACTGCTGGATGATACATCTGACACTCCCCCCCCCCCCCTCCCCGAAAGCGCGGGACCTGGGGCGCTCGCTCCGATTCGCGGGACCCTCGGGACAGCCCTGCACCCAGCTGCGAGATGAATGCGTTACTCGCGCATTACACAGCCGCCGATGTCCTCGTTAAAAGCGAGGCCGCGCTTACGGCACGGGCTGCTACCCTTCCCTCCCTCTCTCTCTGCACGTTTTATTAATTATCCATCAGTGCAAATGACAATTAAGCCTTTACACGCTGCACCTGCCCGATGATTGTTAAACGCGTCCCACGTGATGGAATGAGCCCTGATTTGAAATCATGCTCGAGGACACCTTCCTTGTTAGCCTTTGTGCTGTGTACGTGTCGTGTACGTGTCGTGTACGTGTTGCGCGCTTGTGTCGTCTGTGTGCACAGCAGGGAGCACAGGTGGTGCATCTGCCAGTCATCTCGAGCAACCCATAACGCCTGGGTCTGTCCCGTGACCTGCCAGCAGCGAGCCTTCTGCTCTTCGCGTGATGTAACGTAT